GCTATCGGTCGGGGCTGCCTGCCCCACTGTGAGACATATCCTCTCCTGGCCTGGACATGGTCCAGAGCCCAGAGAAGTCACTCTAGACTGACAGAGCCTGGACAGTGGCTGGGCAGAGGCTGCAAGGTGAGGGCCAGCACACTCCCAAGGAACCACCTGAGGCCCGATTCACTTGCACAAGAAAAGACTGTGCAGATGAGGAGAAACTGATTCCAGTGAAGGCGGGGAGTGTTGCTAAGCTTATTAAGGCCAAGAATGATCCACTGATGATGGGGAACAGGCAGCCTGAATGGCATCCTCAGGCTATGGAGCTACAGGGAACTGAGCCTGGGAGGGCAGAGCATAGCCCGTGGTCAGATTCTGATCTAAAAAGCCTTTTTTCCCAAAACTCAAAGAGCCTCTCCAGACACAGCTAATTCATCCTTACTCCTAGCCTGGGGGTTAGATCCTGATAAGGAACCCAATCAGGTCAACTACCCAGCAGATTCCAACTCTGGTCAAGAGCCAGAAGTCCTCAGAATATTCTATAGACGCAGACTTTTTGGGTCCCCAGCCTAGGCCAAGATAATTAGGTTCTCCTGGGGTGGAGCCTTGGCACCCCTCAGCAACTCTGGCGAAAAGCCCAAATCTACTGCTGCCTCCAGACAGTATCGTGCCACCTCCAGAGAAGGTAAAGGTACCGAGGAAGGTGCTTTCCATGGCAGAGAAATCCCCAATCCTGGCAGCCAGAAGTTCTTCTTTAGTCTAAACTAATCTCCTCACACTCAAACACAAAGTTCTCTGAGTCCCTTCAATGGACGCAGAGGAGAACGGTACAGGGACAATCGAACCCCACTTCCTTGGAGAGAAGCAGAGGCACAGATGGAGCAAACCTCCACCTGGAAGTTCAGCAGAGGAACTGGGCTTTAGTCCAAGGTGTCTGCATTTGACGTTGTTCCCCACCTCACCCCGCAGGACTGGCTACTTCCTAGTGAACATGCAATAGAGTCAAACATTGTACCCAGGTTTTCGACTCAAATCTGAGATTTCCTCAACCTCTGCCCCAAAGGACAAGGGGCTGGGAGACTGAATGCTCCTATGCTTGCTTCTTTCCCTATTCCCAAAATGCAGGTTAAAAAAAAAAAATCCATGGAAGTAACAGAAGGAGGGCCCCAGGTTATTTCTGACAGTGCTCCAGAGGTCGGGTCTCCTGACATCAGCTTTTAAGAGCTTCCCCCAAGCACTCAGCTTAGCTGCATCCTCCTTCCTCCCAGAACCTGGAGGCAAACCTGAAGAGGAAGCTGGGGGGCCTGTTTCACCCCCCTACAGTAAGACTGTAGCCCTGAGACACATGGCCCAGCCTGGGGAGCTGGGACAGGAAGTCCGAGTCCTGCTTTACCTGGTTGAGGCCAGATTTCCCCCCAAGGTCAGTCCCATCTCCTCTGGGCCCAGTGGGAGAAAGAAATGAGTTGTGTGATTTGGAAAAGGAGAAGGAGGCAGGGGCCGCTGCTGCCAATGGCAACGCTGTCTAGTGTTTCACCAGCATGGGAATTTTCTGGCCGGCTTTGTGGCAGAATTTTTATGGGAATAAGCTCTGCCTCATCAGTGTGATCATAAACTCTTCAGTGACAGGAGCTCTATGTTCTATTTGCTTAACTTAGAGCCTGGCACGGAATAAGTGCTCATTAAATGAGGGCGACTAGAAACACGTGGATAGTATCCCTGGTGCCTGGCCCTGCGCTGGATATACAGAGGCAGCAAACCTGGGCTCTCATCACCATCTCCGGGCCAGGTGCGCATTTCCCTGGCGGGACTGAAGTGTTATTCCCTGCACTGAAAGCAGCTGTGGAAGAGGCTGGGCGATGCTCTGACTTCTCAGGATTCCCCAACTCCAGCCTGAATCAGGCCATTCTCCAGAGCTTCCTTTCTCCCTTCACAAATGCCTGGCTACGGCCCTCCCGCAGACAAGCCCAAACTCCCCAACTCATCTCCTAGAAGATGCCCCAGAATCACTTAACTTCACTCTGAGTCATTTGTAAAGAATCCCATTTAAGTGTTCTATACCCTACTGGGGGTTCTTGTTTCTTGTTTGACTTCTGGGCTCTAATAGCCCTTATAGACCATCTTGTCCAGGTATTACCCAGGAGTGGGATGTGACCAACCTTTTCTTTTCTACTTTTTTTGGTCTTGAAGAGAATAAAAGACTCTAATAGAAAATATCAAAGCATGTCATGTATAATAAGGGTGAGCACTATCTCACGAAACTTTGGTTTCAATTAAACGCACACGTAAGTGTGCGGAAGTTACAAAGTCATGTGCATTTCTTCTAGTGAGTCACAATTCCAAAAAGTGTGAAAACACCAATCCCATTTTCTCATGTTACCAATAAGGAAACTAATGCACAGAGAGGTAAAGCAAGTTGCCCAAACTCACACAGCTGGTCAGTGGCAGTGCCTAGGCAAGAACTCGGGTTTCTCCTGTTCTGCGGTAGTGCTCTGCTCACCACAGCATGCAGTTCTCTGGTTCTGCACCCAGAAAACACCCCTGGAATGGGACTGGCCAGAGGACTCAGTGAGTCCCCAGTCCCAGCAGAGCTCCCCAGACAGGAGTGGGCATTCATCGGCCGACTCCAGGGTGGGTATAGCTGGCAGGGACATCAACAGACGATGGGCATGAAGGGCTGAAACCTTTGGCTCAGCTAGTTTTGCACATGCAGCCAAGACTGACCCTGATACTCATCTCAAAACTTTTTCAGCAATCACTAAATTAGGGCTAAAGCACTAACAGAGGCCACTATAAGATAAATGTAAAGACCAAGAGGCTCTGTAGCAAGTCAGGAGGCCAGCGGAGCCACATCCTGCCGATGAGGTTCAGGCCATGGGCTGGGTCACTGCCTGCCCATTCAGACTGCAGTTCCCCTCACCTCCTCAGAGAACAAGAGTACCTGACTTTCGCTGTGGCTCCCGGGGAGATCAACATTATGGTCAGAGGAGAAGGAGGGTCAGAAACTAATCCAGCCCCATCACTTTACAGGTGGCAAAATCAAGACTCGGACAGGCCCAGACACTTGAGCAAGGTCACAGAGCTAGCTGGATGGAGAGCCACATGCGACTCCGCCCCAGAGATCCTGATTCCCAGCCTTCCACTTCTCAAATCCATACTCAAAGAACCTGGGCATCTGGTTAAAATGCCAATTCAGTGAGACTGGGACAGGGCCTGAGAGTCTGCATTCCTAAGAAATTTCCAGGGGATGCCAGTGCTGCTCATGGACCACACTTTGAGTAGCAAGGTTCTCCACCAGGCTGCCTGAAAGGGTCAAGAAATACTTACACTTCACTTCTGATTCTATCTTTCCACTTCAATCTGGCAAATCTTCTAAGACTGACAAACATTTAAAACAGTAAGTATTATTATTTTAACATTCATAGAGTACTTTTGTGTCTCAATTATTCCAAATGCTTACATGTATTATCACATTTAATCCTCAGACTCTGAGATGGATGCTGTTATTGTTCCAATTTCACAGATAAGGAAGCTGAGGCTCAGAGAGGTTAAGTAACTTGGCCTAAGTCATAAAGCTAGTAAGGGACAGAACCAATATTCAAACTTGGATCTGTCTGGCTCATGGATTAGTCAGCTATAGACTATATGAAAACATAACCTGAACTACTCCTTTTTCTGAGCCTTGGGGGCCTCTCCCCAGAAGGCTCCTCACATTGCTCTAGCCAAATCATGTTCCTTCCGGCACTACTTGGTCACAACTTTCTCATAACTCAGGGTCCTAAAGGCCCTGTTTTCCAGACCTGTATGTACCTGGTGGACATCAACTAGTTACCTTTAGAGTTAATGGAGGGGAGGCACAGGTGCAAAGGAGCTCAGGGTAATGTGTGGATAGCTGACTTACACAGAAAGACCCATGGCGAGCTCTCCAAATTAGGGGCTTGTGTGCATCCACCAAGCCTGTGTCCGCACAGACTCTGAAAGCTTACCCCAGAAGGTGGTGCTTGGTTCCAGGAAGCTCCGTGGGGAAGTATCTGCATGGAGGGGTGTGTGGTCTGTGTTGGAATCACTGAGGATTCCTATGGAATATGAGCATATCTCCAGATGGCGACAAGAGTGTGTGGCTGAGGCATGGGGCAGGGCCACCTCGGCATGTTTCCCAGCTCTACCCAAACTCAGCCTGGCACTTTGGCCACGTGTTCAGGATTACGCATCCTCCTTAGTTATACCATGTTTCACTGCCCAGGAGCTCACTGCTGTAATATACATTCAGCAGCTCTGGACAAGGACAGGGCCCCCATGGCACATTCATTCCCTTCCCTCAGGCAAACGGGCATCACCAGGTCTGCATCTGTGGCCCACAGATGCCAGGCTGACTCCCATTTGATTCCTAAGCAGCCATTTCAGGTGCTGATGTTCACCTGGCCTGGTCCTGCTTCCTCCAGGCACAGGAGGAACCCTAGAAATCACCAGTTCTCTTTAGAAGCCCTGGGGGCAAAGCAGGCGAGGGATGAGACCATGATGGCAGAGAGTGACCAGGAAAGGGGAAATTCAGTGAACCGAGGGTCAGCCCAGAGGTGGGGCAGGCAAGGCCCAGTATGCTGGAACCCTCCTGTCCAGGGGCAGGGGGAGTGGTTTTCCAACTGGTCTCAGGTGCCAGGCTGTCTCCCTCTGAATCTTGGCTCTGCCATTTACAAGCTATGTATTCGGGGGCTTGTAACTTAATCTTTCAGTCCCTTGATTTCCTCATCTGTAATGTGGATAATAATAAATCCAAATGAACTAGTATGTATAAAGTATTTAGAACAGTGCCTAGCATATGGCAAGGGCCTAATAAAAGTGAACAGGGGCTTAAACACACATATGTACACACACACACACACACACACACACACATTCACACACATATACATTATGACAGCTATAGGGCCAGCCCCCACTCTGGCATGACAGAATGTAAGAGAAAACGCCCTTCACATTCCTGCTTTTCACAGATGTGCAGAGCAGCTCTGTGTACCTACTTTCTCAGGGCACACTCTAGTTCGTTCTTCTCCTCGTGGGCTTCTTGGAGCTGAGAGAAGATTCTGGTCAGGAAATCCTCAAAGTTGGACAGTAAGTGAGGCTCATCCTTCTTCAGCTGCAGCCAGAGTTGCTTGACATCACTTTCGCTGCAAGAAGAAAAGGGCCATTATTGGAGGAGTGTGGAAATGAGGCTTTAGGGGAACACAAAAGTCCCCAGATGTGAAACAGACAGTCAGAAACAACATTGTCATTATTATAATGATAACAAGGCTAAGATTGACTGAGTGCTTGCTGTGTGCATATTAACTCATTTTATCTCACAGTAACCTCTGAAGCAGGTGTTGCCACCATCCATTTAGAGATGAAGAAGTAGATGAGGAGAGTTGAGGAGAGGAGAGGAGAGGAGAGGAGAGGAGAGGAGAGGAGAGGAGAGGAGAGGTTAGCCTGTGAGCTGTCTCAGACCACTCAGTGGTACACGATGGAGCTGAGAGGCAAACTCGGGGCTGCCTGGTTCCTGCATTGGCCCCCTTGTCTGCCTCACCTGGCTGCTTCCACTAGCCTGTCTTTCGTGATGGATTGGTGGTGATGAGCATGCCCAGCCACGTGCTGGGCACATCTCAGATGCCTGGAAGAAGCGAGGAAGAAGGGGGACTGGTGCATGTGAGGACAAATGCTATGGAACTACAGGAGAGAGCTTGTCACCCTAGGAAGGAAGGTCCTCACAGCTGAGAGGGAAGAATGTGCCGTCTGATGGATGGCAGAAAGCATCTGTTACTGTGGGGAATGGAAGATAATAGGCGACACCCCACTGGGGCCTGGTAGCCACAGGAATGATGGACAGGTGAAAGGAAGTGGCAAGTCAGAAAGGTATGTGCACACACATGGAAAGACAAAGTCTGGAGAGACAGAGTAGGCAGAGAGACAAAGACATAGAGGGACATGGCCAGAAACCACCCCCACCCCAGAACAGGCACACTGGTCGTGTACGTGTGCATGCACACAGCCACAGAGACATCTAGGGTCACGCTGACCAGCAGGGAGGAATAGGGAGGTGGCATATACCATGGACCCTGCTTCCCTCTCTGGACAAACTCAGTAATATATAGCTGATGATCCCACTGAGCCAGAGAGCAAACTGATTTGCACCCCATTCAATTATAAAATCACTGATTTGAGGGTAGCTATGACCAGAAACCCCCAGGATAAAGAATAAAACCTTTGTGCTTGTATAACAAGCATCATATTTGAGAAACTTTCCTCAGAAGTGATATTTGATAATACCATGTTAGCAACGAGCCTTGAACATAGATATTACTCTAGAGAAGAGGCCTACAGAGAAATAGATCTACCTCTGGTTACTTGTCATCTATCCAATCGTCCCTCCCTCCCACCTTCCTTCCTTCCCTTGCTCTGTCTCATCCAAACAACCACCAGCTCATCTAGATCACTCACCCATCCACCCATTCATCCATCATCCATTTATCTATCCATCCACCCAACTTCCTATCAAGTTTTTATTATCTGTTGAAAACTTAGCATTGCTCTGGATGACATTAGGGAATCTGGGACACAAACAAAAGGGAGGTAAGCAGCCTCCCTGTTGCCCATAATGAGTTCCAATTTCCCCACACAGAACATGTTGTGGCTGTCCACTTTATTATCCAAGCACAATGGAGATGGCGCAAAAGTTTCAGAGATAAAAGGTCTCAGGGAGACACTCCAACAGCCTCCTGTCACTGTGATAGTTTGCTCCCCTCATGAAGTAAATGCATTATAAAAATCAAGATCCATCTTGCTGGCCTGGGTCTGTCTTTTCACATCTGCCAAGTTTCTAATGGAGCCTGGCAGAACCACCAATTGTGCTAGAGCCTCCAGTGAGATTTGCAGATCCATCTGACCCTCTTCCAAAGCTCTTTGAACCACTTAGTCATGGCCATGTCACCTCCCCCAGATTTCTGGAGAAGAGACAAGTCTTTCAACCCTTGATTGAAAAAAAAAAAAAGCCAGACCCATAAGTAGCAAAATCACTCAGCGAATCAGACCATCAAAAAATGTTGGGAGTCCAGATGTCCAGAATATACTCAGGACACTCCACTAGGAAAGATATAGGAGTACAAAGCTAGAAGAGATTTGAGAGGTCAATGTCTCCCCCTGCTTCTGGGACAACACACACACCATCCTGGTGAGTGAAGTCTTAAAGTCTCCTCTATTTCTTTATCCAGAGTCCCATGGTCATGAGGTCATGACCCTCATGCTGCAACTTGAGCGCATTTCCTTCTTGTTCAACTTTAATGAGGATGGAAACTGCTGGTCAGCATCTTCTGTGTGTCATTTTTTTTGTAGCCCATTCTTGAAACCTTCCCCAGAGACTTCTCTTCTCTGGGGTATCTCATGTTGACTCATTTCTGCCTTTGACATAAGTCCCCAGAGTGACACCTGGTTAACTCTGACTTGAGAGCCCTGCCAGGAACGTGGCTCTTCTAGAAGTGACGAAGATAGACAGGTACCTGTCCTTCACTACAGTTCCGTGGCTTGCCCACACTGCCCTCTCATTCCCCCTCCTCCCGGAGGAGGCTTCACCAGGTCACTGGCAGTGGTCACTGAGCTCTTGTCTCTTGTCCTTGGAGAAGTTGAGTCAGGTGTCTGACTAATAAGATTCCCACCTACCTGCGCCCCCAGCACGCCCACCTGCCCCAATGCAGCTCTGCAGCTCTGCGCCTGCACCAATCCCTCTATGCCTGAGTAGAGCCGCTGCCGCTGCCACTGTCATTTCTTGTCCTGGCCAGAGCCTCCCACAGAGCTGTCTCAAGCCCTCCGCCTGTCCCATCCTTGCCTAGCACAGGCTTTTCCACGACTTTCTCAAGTCTGACACAGTCTATCAAATCATTTGCGTAGCCTGTCATTTGCTAAAAAATTCACAGAGCAACAGACACTTACTTTGCCCTGCATGTTGTTACAGTCACCTTCTCTCTTGCTTCCTCATTATCATCTTCCACCATAGGGTCTCCTCTTCCTAAGCTCAGGTCACATCAGCTGCCATCATTAGGCCATTCCCATCTCTCATGAAACACACACCCAACCCAAGTCCTAGAGACCCAAAAACGGAAAGCCGAAAGGCAACAGAAAGCATGAGCTCTCCTCACTGAGCTACGGGTTGTGCTGATAATGAACTGCAGGAAATAAAGAGTGAGAGAGTGGGGAGAAAGGATGATAGGATAGAAAAAGTGGGCAGAACATAACCAGGCCACTGTCTGGATTCCGTTAGTGATACCATTATTTTATTTTATATTATTTGATTTGATTTGATTATTTTATATCATTTCACTTCATTCCACTTTAAATGTCAGGGCTCAGATTTATGTGTTTCTTTGTTCTGAAACATGTTTTGCAAAAAAAAAAAAAGGGGGGGGTGGCAACAGCATTATGGTCTTGTTTTTTTTTTTAAATAATCTTTACCTGAGGATATGTTTATTGCTTTTAGAGAGGGAGACAAAGAGAGAGAGAAACATCAATGGGCTGCTCCCCCACCCCACACGTACCCCAACTGGAGACTGAACCCTCAACCCAGGTATATGCCCTGACCTAGGATTGAACCCACAACCTTTTAGGTGCACAAGATGGTGCTCCAACCAACTGGGCCACCTGGCCGGGGCAGGGTATTATGTTTTGTTTGAAGTTTCAACCGCATAAAAATTTCAGCCAAGCTACTTATTATCCAAGTGGTGGGTTAGTAACACTGGTTAATTTCCTGCCCTGGCTTCCTGACAGGCTCGGTTTGGCTCAGGGATACGACATGCAGGCACTTCCGCAAAGGGTGCCTTTTCCTGAAGCATGCCATGGTGCCGTGGCCGGGAGGCACCACAGTGCCAGAGGCCCTGGTAGGCTCCAATGGAGGTGGCAATGCTAGTGAGCTGATGGTGAAGCCTTAGGCAAAACACTGAAAAACCCTCAAGTCCTGGCACAGCTCTCTAATGCATGAGCTCTCCTCACTGAGCCACGGAGTGTGCTGATAATGAACTGCAGGAAATGAAGAGAGTGGGAGAGTGGGGAGATAGGATGATTCGCATGCAAAAAGGGGGAAAAGCAGAGATGGGGACAGAGCCCCTAGGCGTGTCACACAGGCAGGCCATTGCAAATGGCAGGCTGTACGGAGCCAATCTCATAGCTGGCAGCACGGAGCCTGGAGCCCGGAACTCAGGGCTTAACACACATTAATGATTGAATGGAACAGAGAGCGGTTGCTCCCAGGCTGGGCTCCATCCCCCAAATCACTGCCATCACTTACTCTTCCAAAACATTTTGGGCTCCAAGTTTGTCCATCAGCATCTGAAACTGGGCTTCTTCATCCTCATCCATGTCACCCAGATCCTCTTCTGCTCTGGACTGATACACCTTCTCTTCCTGGAGTTGGGCCACCTGTTCACCTGCATCTCCCTGGCTTGGTTTGTTCTGGCTGAAGAAGAAGTGACCTGCGGGTTGCGTGGCACAAAGATCTGAATCAGGCAATACTCACTAGGAAGACCTTCGCTTTCTCAGTTGCTAGGAATCATGTGAGGCTCATCTGAGAGAAGAAAAGGGGAAACCCCCCATAGCAAAGGTCTTTGGATATCATGTTCTGGATTTTGTGTCTTTCCTGCTGCTAAAAGATTCTGCCAGAGATGCCAGAACCTGGGAAAGGCAGAATGTATGACAGGTTCTCTGGCACCTTGACAGTTCTCAATTCTTTAAAGTCTGGCTTAGAACACATCCATTCATTGATTTCTTCTATGAACAGTAAGACCTTTCTCTCCCCTGGCTGCCTACACTCCATGTTATCATCTAGTCATCCCTTCCACCAGCATCACTGTACTTCATATTCACAAGTTACTGTACAGCCTCATGTGCACTTTTTCCATACTCATACAGCCTAGAAATACAGCAATCTGTCTTGTCCTCCCTCCTAAGTCAATTACAAGCTTCTGAATTCAGGAAAGGCATCCAGTACTTCCCAGGAAACAATATGCCCCCTTGTATGAGCCAGAAATGTGATGAAGCTTGCCTGTTGATTTAGCTGATCAGTATCTGCTCTAATCAATATCAAATCAGTCTAATTTGAAGGCATAGCTGGGTTTTTGTCTTCTTCATGGATCTCCAATCTCCTTCCTCCTGGTTACCTTGAGAATGACCAGTCTGTTCAAACCCTCTAGAAATTCTTCTGATAGCTGCCACCCTCACCCTGTAAGACTCAACCAGACTTGGGCTCGAGTGAGTCATGCAGTCATCCCACTTTGTTGTCCTCTAGAATCAAGACAGAAAGGAAAGGCTGGAAATGTCACCTCAGCTCCCCCTTTTATGCCAGACCTTCTGCCAGAGCTTCCCTATATTCCTTTTGCCATTCCTGGGTGGCAGGGACGGTGTGGTGATCACCGAGAGAACAGTGGTATGAACAGCCAAGGAGGACATGTGAAAAAAAGGCCTCAAAGTCCAAAGCCTGAAAAATCCAGGAGGGCAGGAAAGCTTGTGCTACCAGGATCCTTGGATCTGGTGGGGTAAGGGTGCACTTTATGTAGAGTTAGGTAGACACAAGGGGGCCCCAGCATCCACAGAACTTACTAAACCCAGTGGTGAACTCCTCTGGAGTGAGAAAGCCATTGCCATCAGCATCCAGCGCATCAAACACATCCTCCAGATCCTCCAGGCTGAGGGGCAGCTCTTTATGGAGCCTCTGAAAGCAACACAGACCACACTGATAATCATGCAAGGCTGCCTGGGACCTCCTGCTATAAATCTCTGGAGTTCGCCCTGTCCTATAAAAGCCAGAAGCAACCTTCTGCAGACCACGTGCCCATCATTCTCCTCCACTGAATGTTAGAATGCCAACCATTACTGGATGCTTACCAATGTGCTAGGCAATTTGCTAAGTGAGTTAAAAATAACTGTATAAAGATGCACATATTTATCACTATATTTCTGTATATTTTATATTTATAAATATATATTTGCATTGAATTGTCATGACAATCCTTTGAGGTGGGCATTATTATCTCCATTTTTCAGATAAAGTGTGAAATTAAATTACCTGTCCCAAAGTTTCCTAGCCAGTAAATGACAGTGCCGGGAGCCAAACCCAGGCCTGACTGCAAAGCTGGCGCTCTGCACAACTGTAATGGGCTGACTGTGCCTGAAAGTGTCCGGGACTGAATCCTGTTGCAGGGTAATACCCACATAACATAGTGCTATTGCATTAAATGATATAACAAATGTAAAGAATATAGCACAGTGCCTGTCGCAGAGAGAGAGAGAGAGAGATCTTGACCTACCAAGGCTGTTCAGTGAGTGAGTAGCAGAGCAAGGTTTTGTGCCCAGTTTCTCCTGCTCTGCCAAAGCCCTCTTTCCTTTGCCATGCTACCTCCCCTGCTGAAATGCAGGTGACAGTCACACTCTCAGAGCCGTTGTTGATGAAGGCCGCTCATGTAAGTTCTCTGGACTCACACGTAGGTCCATCAGCTCAGAGTGGGAATTAAAGAAGCCCCTTTCTTCCATCTGAACGACCTGCATCCATCACACCAGGCTGTGCCCTGCTTTTGCTCCCTGCTGCATGTCAGCTAATTCCTGATAAGTTGTTAACTGCCACTGGTTAGAGGTATCAATCACCCGAGAGTATTTGTGTTTTAAAGGGTAACTGGGCAAGATGGTGTGAGAGGGGGTCATAAATGAACATGGACCTGAGTCCTGCGCTGATTAGGACCATGCCAGGAGAGAAGGGAAGGGAACAACTGATGGCAGAAGCAACGTGGCTGAGCTGCTGGTGCTGCCCTCTGGCCTTCTATCTGATGTGCAGTGGCCTCACACCATGGCTAATTTGCATAGTTGAAGCAACTGTCCTCTTATACCCTAATAATTTAAGTCTCCAAATAAGGACTCCCCAAGGAGTTCATTATATATCCCAGCTGACCCTCCCCTTCCTCCTCCAGTTAACAAGGACAGCTGCACAGAATTGCCTGCGGGTATGAACACAGGACTGCAGGGAGGAACTATATACTCATCTGGGCAGGGAAAATAAAAAAGCTGGCAGGTGTGAAAGCCTGTGACATAACATGCAGGAATACTTGGCTTGATCCTATAGCAATCTGCTAGCTGATAAGCCATAAAGTTTAATTTGGCAGGTGTGTGCACTAAGGGAGACTATGATGCACTACAAAGTGGGAAAACAGAATGATGTGAAAGCCATTAGAAGAATTGACTTAAACATGAATGAATTTTTTTAAGGGGAGTGAGGGTATGTGCAAAACTTCTAGAAGTGCATCTGCTTTAGCATAAAGCAGAATCCATGGTTTACCAACAATCCATAAGCCAGCTGTCTCAACAGCCACAGGAAGAAAATGGGGAGTGAGGAGTGAATTTTGCAAGCAGTAAGTTTATTAGCTCCACTGAAACAAAAGACATCACACTGGAGACGGGGTGAAAACCCAAGCTCCTGCCCTACCTAAATTCCAGTCCCTTCTTTGGAAATATCTTCCTCCCTCCCCACCCTCAGCCTAGGATTGCTGGACCTGGTATGAAATGTGGCATCTCACACTGTGCTGGAGTTGGAAGTCGGCTGGAAGGAAACTGCAGAGGTTGGTGAGATCCTCAGCTTGGCTTTCACCAAAACTGTAGGGGGCTGCTTTGAGTGGTACCGGAACTCTAGCCCTGTGCACGCTGGGGCCTGGGGAAGGACCTGTACCTTGGCCGGAATGCCAGCAATGCTGGAGGCAGGCAAGACCCGATAATGACTCCAAGGGCCACCGGGAGAAATCAGACTTTGAAGTAAATTGCACTCCTTGAAGCAGTCTTTGTTTCTCCCTCAAGCTCTGTTAATCTTATGCCAGATAACCAGCTCAAGGCTAGGAAAGAAATTTACAAAACTCCTGGACCCTGACCCATATCCCACCTGGCACCATAATGTTTGCTCAACCCAGACCCGAAGCAGTTCCGTGTGTTCCTGCCATTGTCATCTTTACACAATATCTATTCTCAGTAAACTTAAATTACTGATGTAACTAGATTATCTATACATTCCTGCTACCCAACCCCTGCCTGTAACCTTCTCAATAAAAGCCATTGAGAGCAGGGGCTCAGGGCATTCCCCACTAGAAGGAATCACCCTCCCCTTTCCTTGACAGGCAAACGGTGTCGGAATGACTTGTTATTTCATCCACGGTGAATCGGGAGACTCTGCGGGACAGAGTCCCCCATACAAAACTGCCCACATGCGGCGCCTTTTCCGTTGTTAGGGTGAACCAGGAAAATTTATGCCGTACCCCACCGTAGGCACGCTATTCCTGAATCTAACAACACCTCCCACTGCAAATCTTTCCCATTATCTAATCCCAGTCTTCCTGCCTACATCTCAAACCCAGTTTCCTCTTTCTGTTGTCAGTGAATATGGGGAGAGCAATATTATATTTTCCAAGTAATTTCTATTCTTTTTTTTTTTAAATCCTCACCCAAAGACATATTTATTGATTCTGAGACACACATATACACACATTGATGTGAGAGGGAAACATTAACCTGGTTGTCTCCTATACGTGCCGCAACCAGGGATCAAACCTGCAACTGTGTGTGTGTGTGTGTGTGTGTGTGTGTGTGTGTGTGTGTGTACAGGATGATACTCTAACCAACTAAACCACCTGGCCAGGGCAATTCCTACTCTTTATATCCTGGCAAATTAGTACTGAGTGCTTCTTCAGACTTCTCTGCAAGCTGCACCATGCCAGATTCTGTAACCCCTCTTTATTGGTCCTACTTGAAAAATCCTTTAGTTTTAATAACAGTAATTATCTCTTATTTATCTCTCCTCTCAGGGCCTACAGAGCCACATCAAATCAGCTTATTCTGGTCTTGTCCCCTGGGTACCTAGTGTGCTGTCTATGGATAAGATTATTCACTCCACTGTGGGAATAACCTGAGAGGCTCTAAGATTTGCCTAAAGTCACAGCAGAGACCAGCACTGGGATGAAGACCCGATTTCCCATTCAGGGCTCCTGCTATAGTCCAGCAGTCCTCTGAAGGAACATTCTCTAACTCCCTATCTGCTTACCATTCCAAACCTGCCAAACCTACTGCCAAAAGTCTATTTGGCCAGCACCACCACGCACTGCCCTCGCAGAGACCCTATTCATTTTCCATCACCTGGAAGGGCAGGTAGGGAGAGAAGAGACATAGGAGGACATCAGCTTGCCCTATTCCCATGGCCCACAGCCCCACCAGCTCTTCAGAACTTTGCAACTCCTGTAAACACTGGCCTCCATCCACTGACTTCAGGTTAACTCTGAATTCCTCTTCCCTCTCAGCTCAGGCCTCGCTTCCTCAGTAAGCCCCGGTGGCCTTCAGGTGAGGATGCACAGGCTCCTCAAATCCATTTCTCTCATTTGTAAGTCTTATCTCAATTTGTATTTTACATACTGCAGATGTGATTCGGTGATGAATGTCTGCCCTTTCAGTGGACTGGACGCGGAGAACAGGAGCCCCATTTATTTTTCCTCACAGCTGTGTCCCCAGGATCCAGCCCAGTGCTGACAAACCCGGAGTATTTAGATATTTGTTGAATAAGTAAATGAGTGACTAAGAGCCCTTGCAGGGGATCCTGAAGTCCTATTTAAGGGCCACTGGTCTAGACTTCTGCCCAGCACTACTGCAGATTCCGGGCAAGGTCTGATGAACTGGGGAGTGTGGATCAGGATGCAATCGTGCAGCGGCAGTACTGCGGGCTCAGCTCCCAGAGCCGCAGGAAACGCAGTCTTCTGCTGCACTGCAGCCAGACCCTCTGCCTTCCTGGTCACCTGCTCAGGAACATGCCTCGTGTAGCTTAAAGCAAATGTTTGCACTGCTTTAAACATGTCTAAGGGAACACTCACTAAAAAGAAAACCAAAAGAGCTCCATCTTTATGGCCAGAATGAAAGTCTCCCTCTTCCTGGCCTTCTGCAGCATCCTGTTCAGACCTTGTCCCAGCAGCACCCACTCGCTTTCCTGTCCTATAGCTGAGCTCCCAGAACCAAATTCCTTCCACGTGAGAATGTGAGGTCCGGGAGACAGGATCTACCTTTTTTCTGCTTTGTGGTTTGATGTACTTGGTTCTGGCTGATTACCTGCTGTAGACTAGGGTTTCTCAACCTCTGCACTACTGACATCTTAGCATGGAGAACTCTCTTTTGGAAGGGGAGTAAGAATGGAGCTGTCATGTGCATTAACGGATATTTAGCGACATCCCTGGATATTACCAAGTAGATGCCAACAGCACCTTCCTCTCCAGTTTTTTCGATCAAAAATGTCTGTAGCTATTGTCAAATGTCCTAGAAGAGGCAAAATTGCCCTTACTCATTCAGACTGGACACAAACAAAAATAGCCACAGCTAGATACAAATGAAGGTCACTTCCTTAGCACAAAAGCCCTTTGTTTATCTCCGAAGGAGACAGATGACTTGCACTTAAAATCACAGCCTGGTGGTGCATTCAGTGTGGAAAATGGTAGGGCAGTTCCGCAAAAGATTAAACATAGAATTACTAGGTGATGCAATAATTCTACTTCCGGGTATATACTCAAAATAATTGAAAGCAGGAACTTGAAGAATATTTATATGCCCATGTTCACAGCACTATTCTTCAGAGTCAAAGATGAAGCAACCCAAGGATCCACTGACCAGTGAATAGGTAAACAAAATGAGGTATGTAGGTACAATGGAATATTATTCATCCAAAAGAAGGAAGGATATTTTGACAGATGCTCCAATATGTATTAACCTTGAAGACATTTTGCTAAGGAAACCAAGCCGTCACAAAAGGGCAAGTACTGTGTAATTCCACTTATATGAGGTGCCTGGAACACTGAAATTCATAGGCAGAAAGTAGGAGGGTGGCTACCAGGAGCTGGGGGGAGGTGCAATGGGGAGCTGGTGTTTAAGGGGCACACAGTTTCTATTTTCCAAGATGAAAAGAGTTCTGGAGAAGGACGGTGGTGATGGCTGCACAGGAGTGAACATATGGAATACCACTGAGCTGTACACTTAAAAACTGTTAACATGGTTGATTTTGTGGTATGTACATTTTACCACAATTTTTAAAATTACAGTGTGGAGGACACTAGGGTCTGGGTTAAGACACAGTGTGGAAGTCCCCACCCACTCTGCACCAACAACACACACGTGCGTGTGTGAAGGGATTTTCAGGTCCTGGTCTCAGGACTGAGTGCTCTACCTGCATCCGCTCATTTATTCTCTTCTACCGCTGGGAAGGACTATGATAATTCACAGCGAAGAACCTATGGCCAGAGGGTGCTGACACATACAAACTCACCTTGCTAAGAAGTTGCAGATTCAGGGTTAAAACTCAGGTCAACTTACAAAAGAAAAAAAAATCTTTAAAAGTCTTCTTGTTAAACAAAATCAGCGGTCAGATAACTTTTGGTTTAAAGGGTCAGAGAGCACATGTATTAGGCTTTGCAGGCCCTTTGGTCTTTGTCACAAACTGCTTGACTCTGCCGACGGAGTGTGAAAGCTGCTGTGGACAACGTGGAACCGAGTGAGCACACTGTGTTCCAATACAACTTTACCTGCAAGAACAGGTGCTGGGCCAGAGCTGGTGGGTCTGCCAATTCCTAGATGATTCTTAACAGTCTGGCTGAGCCAGGAGCTCTAGGCAGGGCTAGGAGGTGGGTAATACTTTTACTCTTCTAAAATATCAGGGAAACGGGGTTTCGGGGGGCTGCACGTCAATTCAGGGAGAGCTCCTCCCGTTCCTGCGCTCCATCTCCTGCCCCCAGCCGCAGCAGTCCCATGTCCCTCTGTCCCTGTGAGGCAGCACTGACCCTCACTCTGGACCCTCAGCCCTCTTGGGCCCTGTGCTTCTCTGGGTCCCCACCCTCTGGGCCGCAGCCCAGTACCAGTCTGGGCCTGTTAGGAACTGGGTCACACAGCAGGGGGGTGATCTTGAATGTAACATGCTTGAATCATCCTGAAACCATCCCCCTGACCCTGGTCTGTGGAAAAACTGTCTTCCACAAAACCGGTCTCTGATACCAAAAAGGTTGGGGATGGCTGCTCTAGGGAACTGCAGAGACCTCACCTTGAAAAGCAATCTCTACCCCAGTCCTGCCTGGAGTGATCCCTTGGAACCCAGAGAGCTTTCCTGGGAAGGAGGGAGTGAAGTCTGAGGAGCAATGGGTGGAGCTGAGGACTCTTAAACCGCTGCCCAAACTCTGTTCACACAGGTCAGGGGCCACCATCTGCTGCCCCCATAGCAGAATATCTACACATGCAGCCCACCTGGGGTGCCCCGAGGACCTCAAAGGAGAAAGGCTTTGCCTGGCCCTGCTCCTTTCCTTTCATGCTCCCTGCTTCATTAGGCGGACTACCTCCTGTTGGGGCGCAGCCTCTGTGGCTGTCTTCCCCATGTCTCAGAGCGCTGTGAAGTCCATCTCACCCTCTGCCTGTGGAGTTTTGTTAATCAGGAGAATGAATAACAGGAGTAGTGGGGGAGGAGCCTAACTCTCCCATTCATTTTTCAAAAGAATGGCAAGCTCTCCCTAATTTTGTTCCAACTATGACTCTCTGCTTGCCTCCTCCAGCCCCCAGGTTCCCCATCCCATGTGGCCCACAGATTCTTTTTCCTTGAAAGCCATTCTCTGCTTTAAAGGGCCTTTCCCGGTGGCTGGATTTTTGTGTGTGAACACTTTGAACACTTCTCCCTCCAGCTCCCGTAAGGCTGTGCTAGGAGCTGATGGTGAGAAGGGCGGTGGTGGCCAGGTCCAAGGAGCCGGCCACCAACCACAGAGGCGATGACCACCCTGCAAAGGAGCTGCATGCGGGAGTGACAGGTAACAGGCACATGTCTGCAGGTTCTGCCCAGGAGAACCAAGGGGCACATGGACTTTCCACAGACGGCCCAGGGTCAACAATGACAGGGTGACTGTTCTTCACTTATCTCTTTCCAGCCTGTCTTTCTCCAGACTTGACCAGTGAAAGCATCAGAAAGGTGCTTAAATAACATATTTTGTTCTCTCTCAATAGCGCTTTCTTAGCCTGAAAAAATGAAAAATATCACATGCTTTGTTGTGCACAGTGACATGCAAATTTCAGACAACTACGAAGCTGGCAGAACTAAGTGCCAGACTGGATGTCCATCCCCTTTTCTCCTGCCTGGGTCGAGGACTGAGGGAGAACCACTGAGGAGGGATGCAGCTGAGCTGGTATCTCTCACCTTGATGATTCTGACTTCATGCCAAGTCAAATACAAATACTTTCTTTAACAATTTACACTTGGCATTTAGATTCCCCACCCTCACCCTCCCTTCATTAAAGAGTGGGTTTCAGTGGAGGTTAACTGAAATCCTTGCAGGGAGTCGCACGGTGCATGTGGTCCAGAATGGCCCTCCGTGTATGCAAATCCCTTTTTCTTTCTTTCTAGAGGGAACAAGCAAAAGTGTAGGATGCTGTCGAAACTATAACCATCAGACAGCACCACCACAGACCTGTGAAGGAAGTTTGCAGACATGCTTTGTCACTGATTTCCACAAAACACACTAAATCTGGCCTTCTATATGAAGTAGGAATTCAGGAATGAGTTTCAGTGACAAAAATTTATCGGGGGGGTCAATTACTAAAAACAAGGGGGGTTTGAGCTCATTAGTGGGCTTAGCTGGTTCAGTTTCCAAGGTCTTTTCCCTCAATCTGTGCAACCACTGGATGGCAGAAGGGTGCTGGGAGAAACCTGAAAACACCGCCCTCTAGGGCCAGGACAGAAGGGCTGGCTCATCCTTAGCCTCCACGCCTTGCGACTCCACGTGTGAGCAGCGATGGGACTGATACTAACGAGGCCCACATTTCATTGCCCAACTTAGTGTGTTCTGAAAACCTAGAGTTCAAAAAAGAAAACCTTCAGAAAAGAAAGCCATCATAGGTCTTTCTCCTAATGGCATAGCCAGGTTTCCCTAAAAAAATGCTCTTGATAGAGCAAGTGATGACAAGATGTGGAAAAGAGATGCTTTCATAGAGCCCTAGTGAAGCCTGCATTTTATTTACTCTCATCAGGGTGAAATCATGGCTTGGTGTAAGAGACTTAAGTGAGACACCAAGAAGAACCTTTTGACACTAACGGTAGAAAGGCACTGGACCAGGGGTGGGCAAACCATGCCTATAAATTAGACCCATTCCATTTCTGTATGACCAGTGAACTAAGAATGGCCTTTACACTTTTAAGTGCTTGAATAAAAAATTGGTGATGCATGAAAGTTATATAAAATTCAAACTTGTTTCCATAAACTTTCATTGGAACAAAGCCATTCTCATTCATTTACATTTTGCGTATGACTGCAGTGCAGAGCTGAGTAGTCAAGATAAAGACCCCTTGGCTCATAAAGCCTAAAATATTCTCTGGCTCTTACTGACCAAGTTTGCTGAGCCCTGCAGCAGGCGATGGCGTGCGCCAAGGGTCTGCAATGTCTCTCTCTGGAAATGCTTACATATGGGGTTAAATGTGGCTGGGTTTCAGGGTGAGGGACAGACAAGATGAGCTTCAGAAATGCCTTCTTCCTGGGTGCTGCATCCAACACACAGGGCACCTCACAGCAAGGACTTTGGCACAGTTCAGACCTTTGCTGTGAAGCAATAAGTTGGTGCCTTTCTACCTTTGATTCAAACAGTTCTTCACCATCTCTTACTTAACTACCTTATGTTGCTATCACTCTTTTCCCAACCCAGGGGAGTTATGAAGTAAGAGGGGGGAAATAATGCCCCCAAGTATGACAGCAAGTAAAGGTCAGGAAAAAAAAAGGAAACCAGGAGAGTTTGCACTGACGCTTCCTTCCAGAGCAGAGCTGATGGCATCTCTTCTGTTAAAGACATCTCCTCCACTGTGGCAAGTGCTAACCTGAGGCAGGGAGATCCAGACCGTTTGGCATTCCAGTTGGACAGGCCCCGCTGGGGCCCCTCTTACCTGCATATCCCTCCTGGCGATGAAGCCCTTGCCCTCTGTGTCACAGGTCTGGAAGAATTCCTGTGCCTTCTTCAGCATGGCCAGCTCTGCCTGCACCAGCTCCTGGCTCTCCTTAAACTCCAGGTTGTCCAGGGGACCCAGGCAGGCCCCACTCCCCTTCAGTGCCTGAGCAGGTCTCTGGGGTTTAGAGACCACTCTCTGGTCAGGCGTATCCATCCAGGTTTGTCAGTTTCTTCAGTTCTTTTCAGACCCTGAGAAAGGAAGATAAGAGAGAGGTGGGTGTGGTACAGATGAAGTGAGGCCAAGAAAGAATGACAGGGGATGAGAGGGAAGCACAGAACTGCCCACCAGTGTGCCCCAGCATCTCTTAGCAGCTGCTTCTTAATTAGCAGATGCTTCGGACAAGGGGAAGTGTGCCGTGGTCGCTAATAGATCAGCCAGCCCAACAAAGAGAAAAGAGGAGGGGTGGGGGAAACAGACATTTCCAGATTGAAGTGGGTAGAGCAAGTCTGAAAATAATTTCTCCCAATTTTAACAACAAAACAGATCCTGATAGATCAGCTACCATTTATAGAGACTATTGCACTAGGCAACGGTCTCTACACACATTTTGTCATTTATTTATCTCATCTCTCTGAAATAAATATTATCATCTCCATTTTATTGAGGCTCAGAGAGGTTGAATGACTTGACCAACCCCACACAGCAGTTTGTACAAATTTGTAATTTAAATGCAAGGTCATCTAACTTATATTTGATATTAGTGCCAAACTGTCCTGACTTGTCAGCATTGCCGAGGGTGGCGGGATTCCCTCACTCAGATGTACTCTCTCCTGTATCACTCACAATCAACGAACCTCAGCCTCTGCCACAGACCTGCGAGGGCTGCAATGGATGGATGAGAAAGCGCACTGTCTCAAGGAGCTTCCTGTTGTACCAAACTTCCCAGGCCTGGTTTGGTGACACCCACGGCTGTTTTCAGCCAACACAGAATCACAAATCATATACCTTGATCCAGTCCTTAAATCCCTGCCAGTAGTTGTTTCAGAAGATGCCCTGCAATGTGATATCATGGAAAGGCATGAAGAGCCAGGCTTCTAGTCTGGACGCCGCTGCTACTAAGAGACCTTGAACAAATGACCTGTCTAGGTCTGTTTCTTCATCTGTATAATGAGAAGATTGGGCCTATTATCTTTAAGGGCCTGTCTTGCTCTGACAGTCTGAAAAATTGGGTTCATGTGATAAAAGAAAATCTCAATACCCTTGTTTTTTTCCTTCTGAAGACTTTGGGAAGTAGACTAGGTCAGATTTCAAATTTATGATAATATTTGAATTTAAAAATATAGATGTGCACTGTAATGCATTTATGGGAAACTGGAGAAAGCGAAGTACTAAATCATAGCTCCTGTGTCCGTGGTCAGAAGAAAGGCAGAAAATCACTGTCTTACCAGGTGGGTTTCTCCAGCTGTTAGAGCCTGGGCCTCTGGCTCAGCCACACCATGACTCCAAGTCATCTATTATTTCAGTAAACACCTTCCACCTACGACATTTGTCAGGAGCTGTGGGCTTGGAGCTGAAGACTGCCCCCATCCTCAGGAAGGCACTCCATGGAACAGTCTGGACAAGGCAGAGCAGGCTCACCTTCTCACTCTGCTTGGGCTGAATGAGGACCCACCCTGACTCCACTGATCAGCCTCCCACTCAGGAAATGGTCTTTTTCTTCATCCCTACATGGTGTGGACAGGCCACCACCTGATCATAAAGAAATTTAAAACATTTTATTCAGTCTTTCCCAGAGGGAACTGTCTTGAGTGGAAATCCCCAGAGAGCAGGGCTGTGTGTGCACCGTTAGTTGCATTGCCTGGCACAACTATGTGCCATACTGAGGGTAGGGAGGATTTTGGATGATGCTAGTGGTAATATGTGAGCTTCTGTAAATACACAGCGTGAGCAGAACCGCTGCAGTCTTCCTGCTGTCTGCAAGGTCTCTGCCATCTTGTAGGCCCTACCTCATTCTCATCTGCTGTTCCCAGGACAGTAGACTAATAATGCCTGTCATTCTTTGAGGGATTTCTCTTTCTAGGCCCCTAATCTACTTCATTCCGTTGAAGCATGACATCCTTCCATAAGGTAAGTATGATTAAGATTCCTGTCACACCGATGAGAAAACAGTTTGGGAGAGGTTAAGTAACCCAGATCAAGGTCTAGTACAGTTAGAGACCTCTTGAGCTTGCTATACCATGTTGCCTTCCTATCATGGGTTCCAGCTGTGGGCCTGCTCTTCGCAGTCTATTCATCTCCAACTGATAATAACCTAAATCACCTCCCAGAGGCATGCTCATCATTTTAACATTTATCATTCATTCATTCATTCATTCATATCTATTGATTATCATGTAGCAGGCTCTGAGCTAACACTGAGAAATGCAAACGTGCATAATACAGGGTAGCTGATCTTAATGACTAAGTCTCCAATGACAGGATTTTAGTCATGGTGACTGGCAGTAACAGAAGGTATTTTGGGTTGGATCCCTCCTCCATATCCTTCAAAATAGACTATATAGCAATCATCTACTAGTGTGACTCAAAAGTGAGTCCCTGAACTAGCCTGGCATGGGAATTAGCAGAGACGATCTCTCAGTTCTAGGTCTTACTTTCTCTGGCTTTCTGCCTCCCCTGGCCCATGTCACAAGTATGCATGTTATGGAAGGGCCAATCTAATAGTTCTAAGGAAGCCAGCGATGAGCATGGGTAGATGGCTACCTCGTCTCATTTAATTTTAACCCCAGCTCTTAGCCCTGAATATGGCATAGAGAAGGTGCTCATTGACTGTTTGCTGAATGAAGGTCCATCTTTTGCTAAATTCTTTCGCAAGGAGGCCTGAAAACATATGTATTTTAGTCAGGTAGTTTTACATCCAGGATTTCTGTTTTTAACCTCATAAAGAATAAATCCAGACTTCTGCTTCCAGAAAAGATGGAGTTATAGGGACTGTATTTACCCTCCCAGTTGAAATAATCAAAAATCCAGAAAAAATACATTTTTTAAAATGGTTTTCAAGACCCTGGACATCAGGCAATAAAGGACAGGGCTGAGACTAGAGTAAGCTGAGTGAGGCTCCTAAAGTACAAAGTTAAAAAAGGCGTTTACTCTCATGTGTTAGCCCTGTATTTGTAAAACTCTGTGTCTTCCAAAGGGTGAGGTAAAAGCCCTGACCAGTGTGGCTCAGTTGGTGGGGCATCATCCCACAAACTGAAAGGCTGCCGTTTTGATTCCCAGTCGGGGCACATGCAAGAGGCAAGCAATTGATGTTTCTGTCCCTCTCTTTTTCCCTTCCTTCTATCCTCTCTAGAATCAATATTTTTTAAAGAATGAGATAAAAAATTTAAAGAGGATCCAAAATTTAGAGAGGAATCCATTTTAAAAAATACAAATAAGAGAGTTGATTACCTTCTAAAATTTTGCACCGTAGGGGCCATACTCACCTCACCCTAGACCGACATATGTATTTTGTGTCTCTATGTTTAAAGCTACATAGGTAGCATGTAGCTTAGGGAATTTTCCAGGCTCTGCTTGGGTTTTCCCTTCCTGTGCCACGACCTAAAACGCTTTAGGCAATAATGGGGCTTGACAGATGGGAAACTAAACAAAGTAAGCCTCATTATTGCCTAAGGTGTTTTCAGGTGGTGGCATGGGAAGGAAAGATCCAAGCGAAGCCTGAAAAATTCCGTAAGGTGACTAAACCCAACTACATGCTACCTATGAGAAATGTACTTTAAACATAAAGACACAAATAGGTTAAAAGTTAAAGATTGGAAAAATAGATACCATGTTAACACTAGTCAAGAGAAAGCTTCATATTAATAACAGGAAAAGTAGATTATAGAACAAAGACTATTAATGAAAATAAAGTCATTTCGCAATGATAAAGAAGTCAATTCACCAAAAGGATATAATAGTCCTAAACACTTATGCCCCCAATAACTGGGTTTTAAAATGGTGAAGCAAAAATTGATAGACCCACAGGAGCATATCTACAACCATATTCAAACATTTCAGTAGCTCTCTTTCAATAATTAGTAAAACAAGTAGACAGAAATCAGTTAAGGATACAGAAAATTTGAACAACAATGTCAACTATCTTGGCCTAATTGGCATATATAGAACACTCCACTCAACAAAAGCTGAATATATTTATTTCCAAGAGTACATGGAATATTTACTAAGACATTTCATATTCTGGTCCATAAAACAAGTTTCAATAAATTTTAAAGGATTCAAGTCATGGAAAGTATGGTATCTGATTCCAGTGGGATTACATTAGAACAAGTAACAGAAAGACCTCTGGAAAATCCTCAAATATATGAAAACTATGAACCTCATTTCTGAATAACCCATCAGTCAAAGAAGAAAGAAAAAGGAAAATTAAAGTATTTTGAACTAAATAAAAATAAAGGCACAATATATCAATTTGGTAGAATATTGCTAAAGTAGTACTCAAAAAAATGTATAGCACTAAATACACATTTCTTTTATATATATATGTGTGTATATATATATATATATATATGAAAAAACAAAAGGTCCCAAATCAGTGATCTCAGCTTCTGCCCTAAGAAACTAGAAAAAGAAGAGCAAATTAAACACAAAATAAGGGTGATAATAATAAATATCAGAGCAGAAATTAATGAAATAAAAAAATAAAGAAAAACAGAACAAAACTTAAGAAACTAAAAGCTGATTCTTTTAGAATATCAGTAAAGAGAGAAAACACAAATTACACTATCAGGAATTTGAAAGCTAAAACCATTACAAATTCTACAGACATTAAAAGGCTAAAAAGGGAATATTATAAAAAACTTTATGCCAATAAACTTGAATATTTAGATGAAATGAACAAATTCTTTGAAAAACATTAAATATCAAAAAAGAAATAGATAACATGAATAATACTATATCTATTTTTAAAATTAACCTGACAGTTAAAAATCTTTCTGCAAAAAGCTTAGAGGTCCAGATAGCTACATTGATGAATTCTACCAAATATTAAAAGAAAAAATAATATAATTCTATGCATTCTCTTCCAGAAAATTGAAGATGAAATAGTTCCTAACATATCCTATGCAGCCAAGATTACACTGATACCAAAACTGGGCAAAGGCATTAGAAGAAAAGAAAAATACAAGCCAATATCCCTTGTGAGCATAGATGCAAAAATCCTTTAGAAAATTTTAAAATATTGAAATCAACA